GGTGTGTCGCGCTCGGTTTTCTGTCCGATCGCCAAATCCAGCGAGTGGTTTCGCAACCGGCTAAAACGCTTTTGCCCGGTGACGCAATTTCATTGCCGCTTACGTGAATTTTTGGTGGGAACGTGTCTCCTTCGACGAGCAAAGAGCAAAGAACAGTGATCCGAGCAAACTCGGTTCGCGCAAAATCCGACCTTCCGAACAGCATCTTCCTACCGATCGAAGACGAAAGACCTTGCTTCGTAACAGAAAGATCGAACTGCTCGAACAGGAAGAGTACACTACGGTGGAAGATGTTATTGAAGTTGGTAAACATACTTATTTTCAAGCAAACACTGTAACAGAACACAGTCTAAGTCCTCTACGAGCAGACTGATTTGCATAGAGTAAAAGAGAAGAGCCGGTTTAGCTGTGATAAGTTCAAGGTCACGAGGAATATTGTCCCTATACTTAGTGTCACGATTAACGATCTCATTAACATTCCTCTCCGAGCCAGTAATCTCGTGAACGTTCCGACGGACCTTTATTTTTTATACCTTTGTACCACGCAGATCAGCTCCTGTCTTGGAACTTTACACCGTCCTTCCACCGTAAGTCCACGGGCCTTCTTCAACGAAGAGTTATCGACTGTTGGTCTACAATTTTAAATATTTCCTAGCGGAAGCGGACGGAGAGTGGGTTCGAGACTGTTCGACGATCTTGCCTTCTTCTACGGTGGAAACAATTCACCGTGTCTCGTTCCGATTTTCTCTCTTTATTTACGTGGTTTATTTTCTCACGCGGTTATTTCGGCTCGAGAAAACGTGCATGCTAATAAGTAGAGTAGACAAAGTTGCTTGTTTAATATTCGCGAATGTTTTCCGGGGTTTCCGCGATATTTCACACTTGCCCGTTTACACGAGGAATCCCCTGAAAGGTTATGCAATTGAGGGATTCGTCGTCGGGACATTTGGTTTAACTTGGCCGTAAGAAAATTCGACCAGGTCATTTCTCGCGAGTAATTTTCACTCGAGTGCGAACAGGAAATTCTTATTGAGGACGGAAGCACCGTTTTTGCTTTCAATCGTCAACTTTTGCTCCCTATTGTTATCGAGTTAAATTTCGTAAAATTTGTATTATTAATATTACATGATCGAACATTACACGGGAAATTGAGTTGGTCGGAGGGCAAGAGGAGTCATCGAGCGGAAGTGAAACAGAAGAAAAGCAACGCAATAGCCAGATTTGCAGGCTGAAATTTATTACACGACAACGCTCCCGATTGCTGCAACTTTCCGATTGCTAATTGAAAGAAGTGGCCGAACAGTGAAAGACAAGCGAGAAACCTTTCATAACTGACACGACGAAACAAGGAGAAAATCACAGCGTACACACTCTGGAATTGTCAATGGGCAATAAAACGGAAGTTGATCTCGGACGGAAACGATGTTAACCACAGTGCTCAGAACTGATTCTATCGCCATCCCGTCACGGTTCCACACTTTTTCCATTTACCATTATGCAATAACCTCTTAATAACAACGTTCGGTGAAATAAGAGTGAGAGAATTATCCGCGACCTTTGCAGACCAAGAAAATATATCAACTTGTAATATGCATCGTAACCGAGAATTTTTTCGCACGTAACTTCACCTAAACACACTTCGTACAAGCACGGACGGTCTTCGCCCAAGAACAGTCAACGCGCGCTGATATTTCTAGATGTGACACGGCACCCGAGTTAAGCTAGGTTCTTTCCCAATTTTCACACACCGTGCTCAAAATGTTCCCCATCGCTGCTCTATAACGTGTGAATCTTCTAAAAGTACTCACGAATTTTGCTCCCGCGGATGACAAAACCATCCGAGTGTGTTCGATCCTCCGTCTTCGGACCAGTCTATTTCCCTTCCTTCGATGTTCTCACGAATGGAACAGCGTGGATAGCGCAGCGTAGAAGGACGAAACCACCTGTACAAATTCGTAAACGTTTGAAGAAGCTCACGCACTGTTATCACGACGCGTCTGTAAGCAGTGGAACGGGTGTCACACGCGGACCAATTGCCCGGTCGAGGAAGAATTCAAGAGGAGTTCTCGCGTTTTCCACATGGCACACGACCCAATTCGTCGATCTTACGTAAGCGACAACATTGAGTCATTCATGCTCAGCTGATCGCAATGCGCGCGCGGCCGCAATTAATGCTCGTTTATCCGGCACTTTTCGTTTCGCAGAAACTCACGGGGGGGATTACTTTCCGTATGAAAATAATCGTACGAGGGTCAATAACCCCGTTTAATCGTTTCGAAGTTATCGTTCCTCGTCTCTCTCGATTAAAGTGCGTCGTTTCTGCAGCTCGTAAAAACGAGGAAATTTTCGCGAGGTACAGGCGAGAGAGAGAGAGAGAGTGGAGTTTCATTATCGGATTGATTGATAAGAGAGATGGTCGATGGCCGAAATATACGGCCTTGGCCTAC